CACTAACACGGCTGCTTGGTACGGAACGCATACGCACTACCGCCTACCATCCAGCATCAAACGGTTTAGTTGAACGGTTTCATCGCCAACTTAAAAGTGCTCTTCGAGCACACGAAAACAACAATTGGTACGAAACCCTGCCGCTCGTCCTCCTGGGAATCAGAACGAGTCTAAAGGCAGATATTCAATGTTCCGCCGCTGAACTTGTTTACGGCACGACATTGCGTCTGCCTGGGGAATTTTTCACACCACGGAGCAGCACTAAGTTCGGCGAATCAGACTACGTCCAACGACTGTCTGCATTCATGCGAACACTGACTCCGGTGTCAACTCGTATACAACATCGACAGGTCGCTCTCCCTCGAGAGTTATCTACCTGTTCACATGTTTTCATACGAGTAGATTCGGTACGCAAACCTCTACAACAGCCTTACGAAGGACCTTTTCACGTGATTTCCCGTCACGAAAAGACCTTCAAAATTGATCGACATAGCCGCGTCGAAATCGTCAGCATTGATCGTCTCAAGCCAGCACACGTCGATGACAGTGCCCTACCTGATAAGCCGAGACCCAATGCTAAACCCATCAAAGCTTCTAGCGGGATCTCTACGTCTACTTCGGATCCCACGCTAGATGCACCTGAGACCTCATTCTCACGTCCCAGTCAACAGTACGTGTCATCTGCCCCGTCTACGGACGAGACTTCCGTCTCACGTCCAGACCTGCAGACCACACCGCCCTTGACTGCGGATGAGATTGCAGGCTCACGAGGTTCGAACGAGACTACCGTCTCACGTTCTGGTCGCCGAGTACGCTTACCTGTACGCTTTCGCGACTAACCTCATAACCAGCAGCGGATACAGTATAGGACCCTAACCCTATACTACACGAATGCTACACTTTTCTCTTTTTCTCTCATTTTTTTGTTTTTTTCCCCGAGCCTACGCCTCCGACCATCGCTGTTACGGTATCGTCGACTTCAGTCAACTTTGGCGAAAGCTGGCCAGATCACCCACGCTCTAGTCAACGCACTCAGTCGATCTCTCTGGCTCCAAATACGTATGGTATACATTTGGTCCCGAACATGGTTATCCTGGTCGCATCCGGTTCCTTGGCTCAATCTGGTTTCGTCCTACGTCTGCAGCGTTTCTGGTCCGGACCTCTACGAACGCAGATTCTGGATACAAACCACTCTGGTGTAGCATGCTAATCCAAGTAATCAATACAGTACGTTCCTTCTGGTACCGTTCTACGTCAAAGACTTTTGGTGGCAACTCGAGGATCAACGATCACTTCCTGTTCTGCCAACGCCTTCGTCCTACAATTGCACGTTTCGCGATCAGTCCCACGAACGAAACCGCTACGTATCGAAAGTGTAAACCCTTTCTAGCGGGGGGCTCCTGTAGTGACCGGCCAGTCTCGATAAGAACACGATTGGAATAATAGAAACAATTATTATTATTGTAACCAATTGTACCAGAGATTGTTTTACTGTATTTGTTTAACTGTATCAGTTTCACTTCTGCTTCCGCTCTCCGCCTTGTTTGGTTCGAGCTTGCTCACGCACTGCTTATTCGCTTGTACTCTTTGGCACGTCTCGGTATTATTTCGATACCACGAGATCGCCAATAAATATACTTGATCTGGACTAGTAAAGCCTTCTGGTTTACGGGCTATCAAGGGAACCAAGTCATATTTGTACGCGTAATCGAATAGTAGTGGTGATCATAGTCCGTCCACGACTCGACATCCACTACATGTCCATAAAAGATATATGCGGACAGCTTCAGATGATTGAAAGAAGTCCCTAGTAAAATAAAATGAACGAAAGCCTTCAGTTAAACAAGTCCACTCAAAACAATGTGGTCAGCATCCAATATCGAACACTTAATGAGCTATTGATTTTGGGGAATTCTTTACAGCTACAAGGTCTCAAAGTGTTCGCTAACAGAATCACTCTTTTATATCAGACAAACAAGCTTCCTCACAAAGTATTTTGTGAGATATCGCCCTCTGATGATGCTAAAATATGGGGAGAAGTACATAACTAGAGTGGTAAGCTTGAAAGTCAGTAGGGTCCGACTTAAATGCAAAGTATAGTGAATAATGATGGATTTGTGTTTAGCACTTCAAAGAGTAGGGCACTATATTTACAACACCATGCAAACTATTCATAAAGCCTAGGTATTATCTAGAAGAGTTGTTAGTCAAAAACATCTTAGTGTTCTAGTAACTTACTATCTAAAGTCCTAATCGACCTGCAAAAAAACCGTCTTTTGATAAATCTCATGTCAGTAACCTTGAAGAAACTTTTCGGCCATAACGATAAGATGTTAAATCGACATCTGAAGATCTTATTCGGCTTGTGGTAATATAGTATTTCTTCTCTCATTTATTAAGGACAAGAATAACCTGAGCTTTTAAGGCGAAAAACAAGATCGGATCGTGAATTTCAGTCCCAGCCTTATGAGAACCCTTTTGAATCAGTGAATTCTTGCTCTACTTAGCAAAGATGTCACAAATATTCATGGCATGACGTTTCTGTTTTCTATGGCTTCTTTATAATGGTGAATCCCAAATCCAGTCAAATCGGAAACCAGTGATGAAAAATTTCGAATATATTGTTAGTAGACAATCAACATGTCGAAACATATGTAACTTAAATTGAGTAGTTGTTGCAGTGGATGCGTAGCACAGCTTACTGAGTGGTAACATGATGTGGATACTAGACCAATCATCTTCAGCTAATGTGAGGCTAGCAAAACTAATGTGGTAAGAATCGATGTCGAAAACCTACAGAACTTTATTTTTATGATTTGTTGACCAACACAAGAGCATAGATGACTAGAAGGTGACCTCATGGTGACTCAAAAAACTTCAATATACATACCCATTCTATAGAACCTATATCAGAAATACATGAGAATTTGGAGTATAACACAGTAAATTGATTTGTTGACACATTCTACAGGTTGCTGTTAATAAACTCCCGGAATTCCTCAGCAAGCTGACGTAGTCCACGTTATTTCTGCGGAGCGTTTCAAGAGGAGAGTTGGCATATTGGCATATATAAAATGATCAGAAGAGTATTTCTTATAAATTTGCTAATATTTCTATAACTTCCTTTGATTTCGTACATCTCGACTATCACTTGAAGTTATCAGTGATTGTTGTCACTAGATACATTAGCTTGTTAATCTAATGCTTTTTTATTGTAACCACCATCAGTTGAACCTTTTAACCCACTAACGATGAACTATCTTCAATTTTAGTCTTTATAGCGCCAAAGACGACGAGTAAGGTAATGTTCTTTAAAATCAATATATTAGTTGTTAGTGTTTGCATTGATGGAAATCAGATAAGTTGCCTTTTGAACTTTATTGTAGAATGTGAGTTTATGTAAACAGTGAATGCATCCATTTTAGCTTCATTGTTGTATAATGACCACTAATTAGTGGTCATCATTGATGGTTAATCATTTCGATCTTGCGTAAACCAGGTTTCGTCACTAGAAATAAGTGGTACCGCTCACGTTGTGATGTTCGCCGGTCGTCCGGGTACATAGCAACCTGCTATTAATGTGACAATTAAACACTGATTACCTTCATTTTCCTTTGACATTTACTTTGTTTATCACGTTACGTAGTAAAAAGGTTTGTGATTTGTGGCCCCGATTCTATGGTATCCATCTGTTTGACTAAAGTACTTAATACTCCGTTAGTATGACGGTGGTGAGATGTCATGTACTATCATGCTCCGTCCCGTATTATCACGTACTTCGCGCAACATAGTCGGTTGTGAAATTTTAGGTCTTTCGTATTTAGCACTAACCACTTGCAAGGGAGACCATCCAAAGAGAATAGATTTGCAAACGCTTGTGAAACACATATTCAAACCAGATCACGTAGGGAGATGAAACGTAATCAATGTTTCCTACCACTGGTCTTCCTATCCCTTGCTGTGCTTATGTGACAAGGCAAATTGCGCCGACGCATGCGAGCCAGGTCTTACCCTGTTTACTATTAAGTGACAAACACTGGTGCATTTACAGCGAAATCATGGTCATGGATCTGAGTTTGTTACTTGGGAATGTGAACTAGTTTCCTATTTTAGGGCAAACGCTAACGACTTTTTTTATCCAAATGGCAAACTATAAGGTATACTAACTGAATTACTGATTGGTTATTAAGGATGCTTACTGAAAAATAGTCGTCTTGGGACTTGGTTTTACACAGTTGTTTATTTACATTATCTGCATGTGTCCACTCTTCAACTGGACATACCTTTAATTATTCACGAATGTAGGATGTCCTACCTTGTTATCATTTTTACTCTATCCTTAGATTGGCTCCCCCATAATACTTGAGATTCTGAGAAACTCGACGACATTAGAACTCCATAATCTGTATTACGTTCTATTGAATGCAGTACGAACACCAGGGAAAGTGGCGTAATAAGAAAATATAAGATGTCCCTACATTATAGGGAAGTAGATAGTTCAAAAAGAAATCAATGACATCAAGCACCTCGAGATTACATTTGCAGTGGATAAATGGATATGAAGTAACAAGAGCTTTGGCAGCATATGGATGTGATTTATTATTGCTGATTGACCAACGTATTCCTGAAGTAGCCCCCTACATTTATACAGAACGGATAGTCTTATTAGTCTATCTAACTATTTATTCCGTCTAACCATCGTATTAGGATACACTGTACAGTTTCTCTAACCATACGAAGTGTATTCTTAGCTTATATTACCTGGGTGTTTTGATTCCACGTTCGATCACCATGGTGAACATGAACGTATTTTGTATTTATAGAGACATAATAATATCCTCTCTTTCTCCTTACAGGTTTTTGTGGTGAGTGGCATCACCATATTAATTCGGACTTCTCCCTCATCAACTACTTTCCTACTGACTAGGCGGAAAAAAATAACTGAAAATTAGTTTCTTAATGGATGTTGCGTCCTTTCTATAGTCTATCTCAAGCAGGCTATGTCAACTCCAATTTCTAGTCTAAACAGTTTATTTTCATTCACATCTCCTGCTGTAAAAAGACTTCTTGGTTGGAAACAAGGAGACGAAGAAGAAAAATGGGCTGAAAAAGCGGTTGATTCACTTGTAAAAAAACTTAAAAAGAAAAAGGGTGCACTTGAAGCTTTAGAGCGGGCTTTAAGTAATCCTGGTGAACCTTCGGAATGTGTTACTATTCCTCGATCCCTCGATGGTCGACTTCAAGTTTCTCATAGGAAAGGGTTACCCCATGTAATCTACTGTCGAGTATGGAGGTGGCCAGACTTGCAAAGTCATCATGAGTTGAAACCTCTTGATTTCTGCCGTTTCCCGTTTTCAGCTAAAGAAAATGAGGTTTGTATTAATCCTTATCACTATCAGCGAGTTGAAAGTCCGGGTAAGTGTAATTGTTATTGTATTAATTATAATTTCGTCCTTCATATTGCACTACTATGTTCACTTTGGCTAATATACTTAAAGTAGAAATAAACTATATGATTAACGGATTTCTTACTTACTTACTTACTTACTTTCGCCTGTTACTCCCAATGGAGCATAGGCCGCCGACCAGCTTTCTCCAACCCACTCTGTCCTGGGCCTTCTTTTCTAGTTCTTTCCAGTTCTTGTTCATTCTTCTCATGTCTGTCTCTATTTCTCGACGTAATGTGTTCTTTGGTCTTCCTCTTCTCCTTCGACCTTCAGGATTCCATGTGAGGGCTTGTCTTGTGACACAATTAGGTGATTTCCTCAAAGTGTGTCCAATCCACTTCCAGCGCTTCCTCCTGATTTCTTCCTCCGCTGGAATCTGGTTTGTTGTCTCCCACAGTAACTTGTTGCTGATAGTGTCTGGCCATCGGATCCGAAGTATCTTGCGTAGACAGCTGTTAATAAACACTTGTATCTTCTGGATAATGGCCTTCGTAGTTCTCCACGTCTCTGCCCCATACAGAAGAACTGTCTTGACATTTGTATTGAAAATTCTAACCTTGGTGTTGGTTGACAATTGTTTTGAGCTCCAGATGTTTTTCAGCTGTAGGTATGCTGCTCTTGCTTTGCCGATCCGCGCCCTCACATCTGCATCTGATCCACCGTGTTCATCAATGATGCTGCCCAGATATGTAAAGTTTTCCACATCCTCCAAAGCTTCTCCATCAAGTGTAATTTGATTGGTGCATATTGTGTTGTATCGGAGAGTCTTGCTTTTCCCTTTGTTTATATTGAGACCTACTGCTGCTGAGGCTGCTGCTACACTGGTCGTTTTCTCCTGCATTTGTTGTTGCGTTTGTGATAGAAGAGCCAGATCATCCGCGAAGTCTAAATCGTCAAGTTGCATCCTGCCTGTCCACTGTATCCCGTGCATTCCTCCAGATGTTGACGTCTTCATAATCCAGTCGATCACCAGGAGAAAGAGAAAGGGTGAGAGTAGGCAACCTTGCCTAACACCGGTCTTTACCTCGAACGAGTCGGTGAGTTGTCCTCCGTGGACGATTTGGCAGTTTAGTCCATCATAGGAGTTCCGTATGATGTTGACTATCTTCTCAGGCACGCCGTAGTGTCGAAGAAGTCTCCATAGTGTCGTCCTGTCCACGCTATCAAATGCCTTCTCGTAGTCAATGAAGTTGATGTAGAGTGATGAATTCCATTCGGTTGACTGTTCCACAATGATACGTAGAGTTGCGATTTGATCTGTGCACGATCTATCCTTACGAAATCCAGCTTGTTGATCTCGAAGTTGAGCGTCCACGGAATCCTTCATCCTGTTTAACAATACTCTGTTGAAGACTTTTCCTGGTATTGAGAGGTGAGTGATGCCCCTGTAGTTGTCGCACTTGCTCAGATCGCCTTTCTTTGGTATCTTGATGAGAAGTTTTTCTTTCCAGTCTGTTGGTACATGTTCTTCGTCCCAAATCTTACCGAAGAGGATGTGGAGTATCTTGGAAGTTGCTGTTACATTTGCTTTCAGTGCCTCTGCCGGGATGTTGTCTGGTCCCGCTGCTTTTCCACTCTTGATTTGTCTAATGGCCATGCTGATCTCTTCAATTGTTGGTGGGCCAACATCGATTGGGAGGTCTGTGGGTGCTGCTTCGATGTTGGGTGGGTTCAGTGGAGCTGGTCGGTTCAAGAGTTCCTTGAAGTGTTCTACCCACCTGTTTCGTTGTTCTTCAATGTCGGTGATTACTTTGCCTTCCTTGCTTTTCACTGGTCTTTCTGGCTTACGGTAATTTCCAGCAAGTTTCTTTGTTGTATCATACAGTTGTCTCATGTTTCCCTCTCTTGCAGCCTTTTCCGCTGTCATCGCTAAATCTTCCACATATTTACGTTTGTCGGTTCTGATGCTCCTCTTCACTTGCTTGTTTGCCTCTGTGTATTCGGCTTGTGCCTTGGCTTTTTCCGCTCTTGTTCGGCTGATATTGATTGCTACCTTCTTGTTCCTCCTTGCTTCAATTTTATCCAGTGTACCAACAGTGATCCATTCCTTGTGATGGTGCTTCTTTTGGCCCAGAACCTCCTGACATGTTGAAACGATTGCCTCCTTGATACCTTTCCAGCTGCTCTCTATGGTGGTTCCCTCTCCATTGAGTAGGTCATGAAAGGCCTCGAACCTGTTGCTGAGGGCTATGTTAAATTCGTTGAGTTTGTCAGCATCTCGAACAAAGGCCGTGTTAAACTTTTGTGATGTTGTCCGCGCCATTGTCCAGTGCTTCTTGAGTTTTAGTTTCATCTTGGCGACCAGCAAATGGTGATCGGATGCTATATCAGCTCCTCTTCTGGTTCTCACATCCTCCATCGTCCTCCTGAACTTTTTGTTGATGCAGACATGGTCGATTTGATTTTGTGTAGTGTGATCCGGTGAAATCCAAGTGGCTTTGTGTATGTTTTTGTGTGGGAATATGGTGCCACCTATGACCAGTTTATTGAAGGCACATAGGTTTGCAAATCTCTCACCGTTTTCGTTCCTTCCTCCCAGTCCATATTGTCCCATGACGTCTTCGTATCCAGTGTTGTCCTTTCCAACCTTGGCATTGAAATCTCCCATTAGAATGGTCAGGTCCTTGGTTGGGCAGTTCTCGAAGATTGACTGCAGTCTATCGTAGAATTGGTTTTTAGCGTCTTCATCGTAGTCGTTGGTCGGCGCATAGCATTGGATGACGTTGATTGTAATGCCCTCTCTCTTTGTTTTGAAGGAGGCTTTGATGATCCTCGGTCCATGAGATTCCCATCCTATAAGTGCATTTTGTGCTTTTCTAGACAGCATCAGTGCCACTCCTTGTGTATGTGGGGCATTTTCTTCTTCATGACCGGAGTATAACAGAAGTTCCCCTGAAGACAGTCGTTGTTGTCCAACCTGCGTCCAATGTGTTTCACTGATTCCAAGCACTTCCAGGTTGTATTTCCTCATTTCCGCAGAAATTTGGAAGACTCTGCCGGTCTCCCACATTGTCCGGACATTCCATGTACCTATAAAAATTGTCGCTCTGGTTGTAAGAAGGTGCATCGGCCTCATGACTTCCGAATGAACTCGGCTTTCATCATGAGACGTCATTTTTCCTTCTACTCCCAGGACAGAGTTTGAATGGTTGGAATGATTTTTTCTAGTTAGCGTTTTTTTAGCGAGTTGATTTTCTACGGGATGGGGTCGCTAACCCCATGCTCAACCCTCCTCCTTTACCCGGGCTTGGGACCGGCAGTAGCCCCTGGAGGAGCTACAGGCGGAGTTAACGGATTTCTTATGTATTATTTATTTAAACACATAAATATTGGTACAAGGAAGCACCAGATAAATATGCGCCTCACAAATCTCATTCGATTTGTGTGAGGGCTGTGATGCTGCCCAGGTGCCCAGACTGAGGCAGGTGGTTTTCTTAGGGGGCCACACCCGGAGCCTTTGACCTGAATGTCTGATCCACAAGGCAGTGGAGCATCGTAAGGAGATTCAATCCCATGGTAGCCGGTGACCAACAATTGGTTCATACGCTATTTGTTCCTTCAGGATAGTGGAGTCCATGTGCACCATTGGTTTGGAATCAGGGTTTTGAAACTCCCCTAGGTGAACTTTTTGTATCCACCAACCCGGTTAAAGCGCCGGACATTCGCTTTCGTCCTCTCACTTTCGTGAACAACACCCCCGCCACGAGAAGGCAGTGAGTAGGACTTTCCTGGCAGAGGCTATATATTCGCTGGCCATGTGAGAGTATTTCGAGAGGGAGAGGTGACTCTCCCCACTCTCGGCCGTACCAGGGCATTTGGGGACTAACAGATTTCTATCCTTAATAAAATCACACCATAAATTATCTAATCAGCCATCGAGGTTGATGATAAATCGTTTAGTACACAAGTGGGTTGGTAATGTCTTAGCTGTTAATACATATTTTTTTCTGTTGATGGCGTGATAACCCCTAGATTTTTAGTAGCTCGTCACAGCTTTCTAAAGATACTTCTTCCCACCTCGTTTTATATTTTTCTCCTAATAATTTGTATGGTTTCACACAAAGTAGCAGACGCCTTTCGGTTCCTCTATTTTATTTATATATTTAAACACTCAAATATCAGTACAAGGGGGCACCAGATATATATGTGCCACACAAAAAATTACCATTTCATTTAATTATGTGAGGGCTATGATACAGACCGAAGCCTGTATATTTAATTAAGATCTAGTGATATGGTAATCAAACTGACTAATCAATCACTTAAATTCCCATTATCGTGTGTACAGTTTTCAGTAACACTAGCTAATATATGTCATTTTAGTTCTGCCTCCAGTCCTTGTTCCTCGACATAGTGAATACCCTAGTCTTAGTACTGTAACTCCATCACCGGGTTTATCACACTGTGGAAGCAGTGGAATGTCTAGTTCCCGTTCAGCATCTAATCTAGGAATGTTCCCGATGACAGACTCAGCAATGCCCTACAATGTAAATTATCCACACAACTTCAGTCATTCTCCGTCTCTTCCTCCCGGAAACAGTGGAACTTCTACAGACAGCACAGTTGCTGGACCTATTCATTCACTTAATAGTAAGTATAGTTGTATTTTGATTCTTCCGTATTATTATAAATTTACCAACAAATTTGCATGCTTTTGTTTACCGATCGCTGTATGTATTGAAAAACAACTTTAATTGGTTTTTATGTTGGCCAGACCAAAACATGGCATAAATCCATGAAGTCACTGACAAGTGGACTGAGCCATGTTGGTAGGTGTAGACTACCTGGTTGGGATTCGCGAGATGATAGCAACCGATGGTTAGAGACCTTGAATGACATGGCTCAAAATCGTTTGCAATGGCGAAGGTGTATCCACTATTTGTGCTCTCCCAAATTCTAATCTTCTGAATTATTTGTGTCCTTTTCCTTTTTCTCTTTCAAAATTTATTTCACTGTATTATACTCCTTCAATAACATCTTCAAACCCTTATCTTTCACATAATACTTATACTCTTACTACTTCTACCAATATGGGATTTGAATCGACAACTTCATCTCTGTGCTAATGTGGTATGGCAACTCTAACTGATGTACGTACGTACGTACGAAGTTCTACGTTGTAACTGACTGACTGACTGACTGAATTGGTTTTTATGTACTATTAAAACCATTTCACTTTCATTTTCCGAACCTCGTAGTTTTACTGTTCTTAAATCATGGGCTGTGCTCTTGATATCAGTCTAAATGTTTATTGCGATGGTCCCTTTGAATCATCGATAAAGTTTCATACCCTCAGAACCAAACTTTCGTGAATGTATCTGACATATTTTTTAGCTATCAACAGCAAAAAGGGTTTGAAATATCGTTTAGTTGGAATATTTCCCAACAAGTCGAAAGTGCTACTCCGTTCCAAAGATATTCATGTTGCAGAATGTCTAATATTACGGATCCTAAAACTGTGCACATTCGATTGCTTAAAAACATATTCTTATGTATAGTTTTCTGAGACAACCTAGTTCTAACAATAAATCACATTATATTACAGTTTTTTTGGCGTATTATAAGCCAAGGAAACACGTACTCGTTTGCTCTTTTGAAAGCTTAAACTAAGAAAAATACTAAATCAATACACTTGGATCCGATTAATAGTAAATTTTGTACTCCAGTTTCTTTTCAATGCAGTTACTTATTGTGCATACTATCAAAAACCTTTGGTATTAAATAACCAAGTTGATGATTTATTTCATCTGTAGCATTCAAGCAATAGAAATTTCGTACATTGTAGTTTCTGAAATTATCGATTTAGAAAAAAATCTTGTGGATTGTATTTAGCCAATGCTTAGTTTGACCATAGGGCGTGAAGTAGTCAGAAGTATGGCGTCCATTTATTTTTGGAGTCTCATCGGTCCAGTGGTTTGGTGGCCAAAGAAGTATCATAATGTATACAATAAATTGATTTCGATTTTTGCCAGCGTGCACCACCTCTGAAGTAGGCGAGGCGCTCATATACATATCGAAGTTATTTTTTCATCAAAAACCGGGGATACCGAGCAGAAGGCTTTTCTGCTGCTATGAAATGGCTTATAAAAGTAAAGTACTTGTTCATAGGTACCTTTGCACCGGTAATGCAATGACCTAAAGTCTACTTTGTCAATCACAGTCATAATTTCGCAAAAGCCTAGTTGAAAGTGGAATGTTTTCATATAGAATTGTTTTACGGGGATTATTTAGAAAAATGTAATAAATCCATATAAATTATGGTTAAATTTCGCTGTTTGTTTCTAAATACGATAAAACGTCATATTGATAATGTTTTTTTTTAAAATAATTGTTATTTGCCATCTTTAACAGGCTCAAATCTTCAATCTGGTTACCAAACTCAACCCAATCAAGATCCGGCTACCTCTGGACAAAGTAAGTTTTATGAATATTTGATGTTTAAATATTTCAGTGCATTTTAAAGATGTTCAGATATTCAAGCGATCTGTTATGGGAACTATGAGTTAAATTTTAAACTTATTTAAGCATTTAGTAACCCGTTACAACCTCATAATAGTCCTTTAAATGCCGCTGAAAAGGATCATTTCAAGAAACTAGAGTATTGCAGACTTAATTTGCTATAAATGTTTAACTATCTGAGGACTGGAGCACAGCTTATCTAGTCGTGATGATTGCTTGGTTGCTACAATATTTCGCTTTTAGTCAAAACTGCGGGTTCGAACCTTGCTCCATCAACTCCATTTCAGGTCGGTCAGTCAGTCACAACGTAGAACCGGTACGTATGTACACCGGCTTTTGTCATACCTTATTAGCACAGAAAGATGAATTTGCCAGGCTAAATCCCAGAACAGAAAATGTAGTAACAGTATCAATGGTAATAAGAGGGATTAAGCATCGTAGATACGATTCTAAAGAATATAAATTAGTGAAATAGTAACAAAAATGTTATTAAGAATTCAGGATATCAAAATTTGGGGAAAGACAAAAAGTAGATGTACGTGCTCCACTCAAAATGATTTTGAACCATTTCATTCAAAGTCTAACCACTGGTTACGACAAACATCTCAACCCCACCCAGGTATTCTACACCTACTAGTATGGCTCAGTCCACTTGTTAGTGACTTCATGAAATGACGCTATGTTTTGGTTTGGCCGCCCTTACCTTTCTTCTAGCCTACTCCTGCACCAGAAAACATCACCCCTCGAGGTAGGCGGTAGTTGGGGATACGTAACACGTCCCAACCATCTCAGTGGGTGAAGATTTACCACCTCATCAATTGATTTACCGTCTTTACCTAGTACTCTATTCCTAACCCGGGCATTGCCTACTCAATTGTCCCAGAATACACGGGCAATGCTTCGTCGACACCTGTGGTCGAATACCAGTAGCCTACGAATATCCTCTCCTCTCAATGGTCATATTTGACATCAATAAAGTAGGGCGGAGAGAACCGCTGAGCAGTAAACTTTTCTATTGGTTGGAAGACAGAAACCTCGTCTACGTCACAAGTGGAGCTTAGCAAAAGTAAGTCAAGCCTTCTGAGTCCATTTCGAGATTTCTCCAAACAATATACCACCAGGACTTATGAGACTCTCAAGATACACAAAGTGGTCCTTGCGTCCAACTATTTCACTCCCTATCATTAATTCAGGTGATGGCGTAAGTCGATTCTGTAGTAACACTCTACATTTAGAGGGAGAGAACCGCATCCCGAACATGCTTGTATTGTTGCTTATGGTGGTCAGAAGACTGCATTTTGTTATTGTCTTCACCAAAAAGAACCATGTCGTCTGCTCAATCTAAGTGAACAAGTTAATCTCCTGGTAGAAGATCAATGCTTAATAAGTTAGATTAGTGTTATCTCTGAAAGCATGTCTATGACAAAGCCTCCAAATGCCCTGGTACGGCCGAGAGTAGGGAGAGTCCTCTCTCCCTCTCGAAATGCTCTCACATGGCCACGCGTATATAGCCTCGGCCAGGGAAGTTCTACTCACTGCCTTCTCGTGGCGAGAGTGTTGTTTACGAAAAGCGAATGTCTGGCACTTTAACCAGGTTGGTGGATATGGAGGATTCATCTAGGGGAGTTGCAAAACCCTGATTCCAAACCAATGGTGCACATGGGCTCCAGTATCCTAAGGGAACAAATGGCGTATGAACCAATCGTTGGTTACCGGCCACCATAGAACTGCATTTCCGCAGGATGCTCTACTGCCTTGTGGATCAGACCTTTACGTCGAAGGCTCCGGGTGTGGTCCCCCAAGAAAACAACCTGTTTCGGTTTGGGCACCCGGGCTTGTGTGGCGCATATGTATTCTGTACCATTTGCACCAATATTTTTGTGTTCAAATAAAAAGTAATAAATAAATAAAATGGGAAAAGCGGGAAACACTAACGAACAGCTCTTAAGGCAACGAACGACACTTCGCCATAAGCTCTGACTCGACCAGTAGTATTCGAGTAGAGAGCTTGTACAAGGTTGATGTACTTCTTTGGTATACGTAAATATGACAGACACTGCCACAGAACATCACAACCAACATAGAACACCGCTTTAATTTCAGGTGTTACAACTGCTGTCGGATGTCAAAAGGTATATCTCTGTCGCAGAACCTGCTTGAAGGTGGATATTTGGTCTATACATCCACATCCAGGTTCTCAACTAGCCTGGTTTTCTCCGGTTTGCACTTCACAAGCTCTAGTTAGACGTCGAATTATTATTGAGGCTAATATTTTAGACACTATATTACTTGAAGTGATCCCTCTGTGATTGTCACAAGAGGACTTTTGCCCTTTCTTATAAATTGAGACGATCAGCGCTCGAGACCAGTCAAACGGGGTTACGTTCACTTCCCAGATTTTAGCTAAAATTTCAGTTAATCCGACTGTTAAAATTGGACCACTATTCTTAGAAATCTCAGGAGTTAGTTCATTAGGCCCTGCTGCTCTCTCTCTCTTATGGCCTTTTTCAACCACTAAGAGTTGGGTAACTGAAGTGTGACTGTAGGTCAGTTGAACTGTCTCCTCAAGTGCTGTTTCTGTTGATTCTATCTTCCGGATGAAGAGTAAATAATATCCTCGTTTTGTTCCAAAATAGTTTCACTAAAAGCCGGGCTTTTAATACCCGTTTCTTTGATATGTTTGAGCACTTGTCTACTGTTACCTATCGCTTATGCCTTTTCAATCTATTCTGCTTTCTCTACCCACAACTATTTACGATAATTACGTAGGCTTTTTATCAGCCTACGTTTAAGCTGCCTCCGCTCCTCATCGTGTTCAGAGCCAGAAGGGTTAAGTTTGCAAACATCTGTCAGCTCAGTAGACTTCGCTTCAGCCCACTGAATTTTCTAAATCATTTGTTCTAGGTTATTGGAAGATTTCACTGTTGCTTGCACAGCTGTCGTGACATACTAAGGTACCTCGGGTGTGGATATCACTTTCATAGTTGACTAGTTCCTTCTCTAGTTGTTTCTGTAATATACTCTTAACATTTTCATTATTAGGTTGAACTCTGAGGGGTTTTCTTGCTTCGGCTTTTATTCGTCCAACTAGATGCAGACAAATACATGCTCAACTAGAGCTTGGTTTCAATCTAAACATGTGCTCAGGAATGAGTGGCACTCTTCCATTAAGTCTCTTCAAAGATAGCTAATGTCAGCATGGTCTATTAGAATCTAACGTTGAGTTGATTGTGAGCGAAGCTGGCTTGAAATAAACGAGTATCTGAGCATAATTGCAACAGACGGCTACAATTATCTGTTCGATGAGCTGTGACACCATAAGGTTCACCTAAGTTCCTTTCGCTTTAGTCTACCTACTTGGACATAACAACCATTATTATTGCATCAAATCGCTTAGTGTTTTGAAGGTGGTTGGAAGCCTTCCTACACAATTCACCCTTTACTTCATACGAGCTGGAGTCAGTGGGTGCATAGGCAAAAATGACGAGGAGGCGACGGCGTGTGTTTCTATCCTTCCGAGTTCTTACTATCCCGTTTAGTCGGACAGCGCACATGTGACTGTATATTGAAATCCTGTCTAGGAGTCAGTCCTGCTTCCGAACTTAATCCTATGTGATGTGTTAATCCTGCAATTCGAAAGACCTTGCCGTCGGAGATGGAAATCCGTGGGGTTGATGTGAAGTGTGACATTTTTAGGATCGACATTTTATGGCCGTTTCCTTCCATTGTGAGGAGGCAGCATCGTTGCAGATGCTGGTTTTTCGAGGTAAACATTTTTTGTTGTTGTACTCCTCTACGGTCAGCAGCACAACTTTGCCCTCGGGCATTAAGTTGCTGTTTTTGTTCTTACCGTTCTCCATTTCAGGTCTCTTGGTAGTATTAATATCCACAACACAAAATGTGTGACTCATGAACCTTTACTTGTATCCTTGTTTGTTTTGAACTAAGTTTATCAGATTCATTCAGATCCATCTCACTAAACGTTTGGTAGCCGTTTCACGTTTTGACAGCCTGTCATGCGTGCATTTTCATAAACACTTTGACTCAATAATCTGAGCTACTAGTGTATTCTTTAAGTTCATTCAAGAAAATAAGGGGATAAGGTATAATATTAGCAAAGATCGGCATAAAAGTGCATTTTAGTTCATAGTACTAGTAAATATTTAAAATAGATGCATATATTTAGTTGATGACTTGAGTCGAACATCTCATTTGTACGAAAGCTCATCTAGAGGATGTCTGAATATATGACATGGTCACTTCCTTAACCTTTTTATTCGAATTCGTATTTTCCATGTTTTTAGCCAACATAACTGTTTGGGTGCTACTGATCCTCACATAAAGTGACTTAGTCATAACTACTGTATAGCCCTACTGTTGCTGCTACCTTGACGTGGTGGTCGGGCTTGCCTATCGTGATGATCCAATCGAGCTATGCTGGCTGGAACAATCGTTCCTCAAGGTCCTGCCATGCCAGACAGGTCGGTTGAAGAGCGGTGAGACTAAAAGCAGCAATCCCAAGGTCCGAAGGCGAAGTCGTACTGCTGACTGTACAGAGGTGTGACGGCAGTAAGGTGTTTCCTTCAGACAACCAGCATGACAGCGATGCTGCCTTCCCACAAGGAGGGGTGGAATTAGAAAAGGTCGACCCTAAAAATGCACACCTCGCCTTATCCCACGGATTTCCGTCTCCGGCGGTAAGGACTTTTGAAGAACGGAGCTAACACGTCAAAAATCCCCCACAAAAAGGCCGTGCGTGACCGGCCTCAAGCAGATGTCCCTTGGGCACTGCGATCACGCTCCCAGGTCGTTAAGACCAACACTAATCCAACTTCTTTTTCAGGTCCCTCAAGAAATACCCTTCCACGGTGTGGGCAGCCGGGAAGTGATACTAGCCCTCATACCCTTAACTGCACACAAGACCAACTTGGTCGCTTTCAAATCCTTCCTACACCTAATAACTCTGTTATCTCCACGACTAACCCTTCCCACGTCCTTCTATCACCTCGCACCGCTAGGGCGCATACAAGATCCGAGTAGTGTCATTCATTTGACCGCACCTAATCAAAATAAAGTTTCATCTCGATACACGCTTCGTGTATCTGGAAGCCCTGATGCTGCTTCCCGTGGCCTCGCTGGAGTAGGTATAGCATTAAGTCCTAGGGCAGAACTAGCTCTTTTAGACTGGATCCCAGTAGACAGTCGTTTGTGCGCTGTCCGACTAAACGGATCAGTAAGGACTCGGAAAGATAAGGAAACTCGTAGTTGCCTCTTCGTCGTCTCTGCCTACTCTCCCACTGACTGCAGCTCAGACGATATAAAAGATGAGTTCTACAGGAAACTTTCTGACCTTCTCCGAGAAGCTAGGCGTTCTGATGTAGTAATAGTAGCAGGTGACTTTAATGCTCAAGTAGGTAAACTAAGTGAAAGGGAAAGACACCTGGGTGGATCTTATGGTGTCATGGCGAAAAGAACAGATAATGGCGACCGTCTGTTGCAGCTATGCTCAGATAACCGCCTATTTCTTGCAAATACTAACTTTAAGCATAAGGAAAAACATCTTTTGACATGGCGACCCCCGAATTCGTCCCAACGTTGAACCCAATTAGATCACATCGCTATCAGCCACCGATGGAGGGGCTCGATAGAAGACTGTCGCTCATTCTGGAGCACATGTTTAGATTCAGATCATGCTCTAGTGCGAGCACGTATCTGTCTGCGTCTTACTGGTCGTTGGAAAGACACTGCAGGGAAGCCTCTAAGGGTTCTACTTAATGATAGGCAAGCTAAGAATATATTTCAGGAACAACTAGAAAAACAGTTAGGCAGCCATGTAAGTTGTGTCCACCCCGAGGCAGCGTGGAATGACATCCGAAAAGCTGTGGAAACAGCAGTGATATCTGCTAGTAAGGTAAACCATAACGTTAGGGAGAAACAATGGATTTCGGCAGCATCTACCGCACTGATAGATGCTCGTAAACTCATCCCACCTGGCTCTGAGCATAACGAAGAGCGGAGTCAACTTAAGCGCAGGCTTATAAGAAGCCTACGTAATGATCGTGAACAGTGGTGGGTAGCGAAAGCAAGAGAGATGGAAAAGGCAGCGGCAATAGGTAACAGTAGGCAGCTATTCAGACTCGTTAAAGAAACCGGTATTAGGAACCCGAATATCGGTGAAACCATCTCAGATAAAGATGGGCATATTATTCATTCTCAATCCAGGAGATTGGATCGATGGGCAGAACACTTTAGGGATCAGTTCAACTGGCCTTCAGCCACACTTCAATTACCCACGATCCTCAGTCGTCCTGAATGGCAAATTGATGTAAGTTTTCCAACCCTCTGTGAGGTTGAAAAAGCTATAGGAAATCTGAAGCGAGGGAGAGCAGCAGGCCCTGACAGGTTGACCCCTGAGATTTTTAAGGATGGTGGTCCAGTACTAGCAGTGAGATTGACTGAGGTCTTAGGTAGAATCTGGGAACTGGACGTAATTCCATCTGACTGGTCCCAATCACTGATTGTGCCAGTCTATAAGAAAGGACAAAAGTCCTCTTGTGACAATCACAGAGGGATCAGTTTGACTAATATAGTGTCTAAAATATTAGCTTCAATAATACTAGGTCGCCTAACCATAGCTCGTGACGAGCAGACTAGAGAAAACCAGGCTGGTTTTCGACCTGGACGTGGTTGCATAGACCAGATATTCACCCTACGTCAGGTTCTAGAACATAGACACAAATTCAGACGTCCCACAATAGTAGTATTTCTTGACCTTAAGGCGGCATTTGACTCCGTTGATCGTGAGGTTCTATGGCAATGTTTGTCACTGAAAGGAGTACCAAAGAAGTACATTAACCTCATGAAGGCTCTCTACTCGAACACAACTAGTCGAGTTAGAGCCTATGGCGAACTGTCATCAGAACTGATTACCACAAGTGGCGTTCGTCAGGGCTGTCCACTCTCCCCATTCTTGTTTAACTTTTTCATTGACGTACTTTTAGAGATAGCACTTTCATCAGCTAAACCTCCAGGAGTTGAACTTTTACCAGGAGGCTCACTTGTTGACTTAGAATACGCCGACGACATAGTTTTACTCGGTGAAGACGCTGACAACATGCAGAGTCTTCTGACCACTATAAGCAACTATGCAGGCATGTTCGGAATGCGATTCTCTCCCTCGAAGTGCAAAATATTACTTCAGGATTGGGTTGCATCGACACCTGAACTAATGATAGGGAGTGAAGTAGTTTAGCGTGTAGACCACTTCACTTATCTTGGGAGTCTCATCAGCCCTTGTGGTCTGGTATGTGACGAAATCTCAGCACGGATACAGAAGGTTCGTCTAGCTTTCGCCAACTTGCGTCATTTATGGCGTAGGCGAGATATCCGTCTAGCAACCAAAGGATGGGTTTACTGTGCAGCAGTTCGCTCCGTCCTACTTCATGGCAGTGAAACATGGCCGATAGGAGTAGAGGATATTCGTAGGCTACTAGTGTTCGATCATAGGTGTCTTCGAAGCATTGCTCGTATATCCTAGGACCACCGGGTAAGCAATGCAGTTGTTAGGAAACGGGTACTAGGTAGGGATGGCAAATCGATTGATGAAGTAGTGAAACTTCATCAGTTGAGATGGCTGGGACATGTGTTACGTATGCCCGACCACCGACTGCCCCGACGTGCAATGTTTCATGGTGTAAGAGTAGGTTGGAAGAAAGCTATGGGCGGCCAGACCAAAACGTGGCACAAATCAATGAAGTCACTGACAAGTGGACTGGGCCACGTTGGTAGGTGTAGACTACCTGGTTGGGATTCGCGAGATGACAGCAACCGATGGTTAGAGACCTTGAATGACATGGCTCAAAATCGTTTGCAATGGCGAAGGTGTATCCACTCTTTGTGTTCTACCAAATTCTAATCTTCTGAATTCCTCATGTTTTTATCTTTTTCTCTTTCCAAATTTATTTCACTGTACTATACTTCTTCAATAATTTCTTCAAACCCTAATCTTTTGGATTTCTGATTATACTCCTACTACTTCTACCACTATGGGATTTGAATGGACAACTGCATCTCTGTGCTAATGTGGTATGGCAACTCGAACTGATGTACGTACGTACGAAGTTCTACGTTGTGACTGACTGACTATGACATACATGCGTTAGAACAAATATCCATACCAAGTCATCACAGTGAGACGAATAATAAAAGAATCAAAATAATTATTTCATTGATTGTTGCCACGTTTCCGTTTTATCTCTTGAACTTTTTTTCTAACTCCGCTTTTTCAACCAGGGCACCATATAAAAAGCTGTTTTATCTCTGTATTTATATGTAGCCACCGCATCCAGTAAAATCACAGCATAGCACTCATTAAATACAAAAACAAGTTGGTGATATCCTACAGTATATTATTTTTATTTACTAACATTCGTCATTTATAAGCATCGTGGAGTCGCTAAAGGAAACAGTGGACTTTGTGTCAATACTTTGGCGAAAATATCAGAAGCGTATTTAGAATTTCTCATTAAGAATTTGTAACTTGAATCTAAACAATAATTATTTTTACAGACTAATGAAGTAACAGTCAGAAACCTACTGAAACCACTTCCTAAAAGGACTTGGAAAGTTCCAGCCAGTCTTCATTATATAACTAGCACATCGATTTTATATTTGCGTTACGTGTTAATCCGAATTAAACAGGAATTAGTTAGTGATCAGCATAATACATTTTATGTGAAATTCAATCTAGAAACACATCTGACCCTTTTTATTTTAGTCTTCGACAAAAGCAACTCTTCACTTTAAGGCAAAAATATTCAAACTTGAGTCGGTTTTATCTTATTAGTCACAATTAATGTTTGATCAAAACACTAATTTACTGAATTAAGTGACTGATTTGCGGAATGTTGGATACATTTGTTTTAATATAGAAATGTCTATATTAGTTCATTGTCAAAACAATCTTCGTTTCTCTATCCTATTTTAGCGAAAATTAGACTGTAGACAGACCAAAGTAGTTAGTAATCCAGCTCCCTATTTGCTATGATATCCAAAATACAGTAACCACTACATCAATCAAAAGTGGTATGATTTATTCATCTCATGTCTAGTTCTATCTATTTATTCACATATACCTCCTGAACTACTTTCATTAAAATGATAAAGGGGAAATGTTGCTCAATCTCGTGGGTATATCATGCAAAGACTGTCCATTGCAGTACTGATCTCATTTATAAATTATGTGTAGAGCCACTAAATTGAAACATGTACATATTTATCGATTAAAATAATTGAGTTATATTAAACGTATTACTACTAGTTATCTACGTTAACAAATCAAGTTTTAACTTATCTATTATTTGTACTTTTTGAATATACTGTGCTGTTAGTATTATGTTATATGGTTAAATGTGTTGTCTTTTCATTCACGTCCTAGCTATGCATCCAGTGAATTATCAAGAACCTAAATACTGGTGTTCCATTGTTTATTACGAACTAAATAATCGTGTCGGTGAAGCATTTAACGCTTCACAACTGAGCATAATCATTGATGGTTTTACAGACCCATCAAATAATTCAGATCGTTTTTGTCTTGGTCTTTTGTCGAATGTCAACCGAAATTCTACGATCGAGAATACAAGACGTCATATTGGAAAAGGTTATTATTTATTTGGAGTTTTTCTTTCCTATTTATGTTGAAATCTTTATTTACTTGACATTTATGGTATGACATCTAAGTAATTAATCTTTGTTCATCTCCAAGGCAAAATGTTAGTCTTAAAATAGCCAACTTGTTTCTTCTCCACATTTTATTTGCTTCTTATCCACGAATACTCATTTGGCTCTCTTGTCTATAATAACTAACCGCTGCAATTATTTGTCACCAACCTATCCACTTTCTGTGACGCTTTAAAGTAGCAATTAATGGTTTTGGTTTTACTCTAGAGTTTCTCGGTTTTCTTCCGGATACAATATATGAATTTCGCCATAGATATACTGTTTCTGTAAGATGAAGGTAAACATATAAACGTCTGGGTTCAGTCTCTGCTGACACTACATTAATGTATATGACTTGTAGGCACAAATTGGCATTGAAGTAGAATGGTTATTTAACAATGCTCCTACCTAATAGTATTTCTCGATCATTATCAACATATTTATAGCCCCAGTTTATTTGTTTCTTTATTTGCTTGAAAATCTCCCATACTGTTACGATTGTTGTTTTTATTTTAACTAAGATAAGGTCTTAATATGGAGCCAACCACTCGTCATCTACTGCGTGACAATCAGTAATTTTTTTAATTTTCTTCCACCCACCGAAACTCGAAATATTTTAGTTAGATTCTGTTATCTATTTAGTCCGTCATCAAGTATTTATCATTCAGTTGCGTTCTTTAATAAGTCATTTAAAAGTGGATATTAGAACTTAGGTAGAACTGATTACTGTTCACAATAACGTATTTACCTTCCGAATCAGTCGGAAGTTTAATTAATCTTTAAGCGAAAAATTAATGTCTAGATTGAAATGTACACACTTTGTGCTGGTTTTGTAGATCTAACAAAACTTCTACACAACAAACTGTCATACATATATTAAACATTGAATATGTGTAAACTTACGTAAGAACCTTTATTTTAGAAGAGAAGAATCAATAAATTAATATTGAACTCTAAGGATCTCGAACTTATGTCACAGTATACACAGACTGAATCAATCCATTCTTACCACGTTTCTCATTTCACCATAGCCTTTTTTGTTCTATTTTCTCGTATAGGTGTTCATCTTTATTATGTTGGTGGCGAAGTATACGCTGAATGTTTATCAGATAGTAGTATATTTGTACAATCACGTAATTGTAATTATCATCATAATTTTCATCCAACCACAGTGTGTAAAATTCCACCTGGTTGTTCATTGAAAATATTCTCAAATCAAGAATTTGCTCACCTGCTTAGTCGTACAGTACATCATGGTTTTGAAGCTGTTTATGAATTAACTAAAATGTGTACAATACGTATGAGTTTTGTAAAAGGTTGGGGTGCTGAATATCATCGACAAGATGTTACATCTACTCCATGTTGGGTGGAAATCCATTTGAATGGTCCATTACAATGGCTTGATCGTGTACTTACACAAATGGGTACACCAAGAAATCCGATTTCATCGGTTTCATAAATCTCATTATGTTCTTAAACTCTTTATTGCTCTCCTTTTAATAGATATTGATTCTGCGGTAAAAGGTGAATAACATATGGCGTATACATGTCTAGAATTCTCATCGGGAAAGAATGCGTTATTTTCTCTTCCTTACTTTATTTCTGCATTAAGACCATATATAACCTCACTTATACTATCAGTATTAACAAATCATCATTTCAAGCTAAAATTTACTTCATAAGATAGAGCTTCTTTCCAAAATGAAGCACACGAGAACATGAAGATAGTGAATAAAATAACAGCGCCATTCTTGTTCCTATTATTTATTTGTATTTCTGCATATATCTTCTTACTATTTACAATAATTATTGATATTTTGTGTGTGTTCGTACAGCGCCTTCTGAAAATGCTAATCACTTTGTTATGTTTATTGTTTATCATTGGGGGTCTTTCTCTTTTCTTCATAGTTCCTTTTGTCACCTTTGTTTTAATTATTGTGTAAACATTTCAAGTCTACTTTTTCAATTATTATCTTGACGTAGGTAGACGACAGTGTGAACTGTTTTGGAATCATTGTAATATAAAACATTACTGTTGCATTTTTGTATTATTTTCATGCTCATCCCTGGAAGTGTATATATATATATATATATATATATATACGTGCCTTAACCTTTTTTATTCATATTAGACTGCATACACGCGTTTATGCTTACAGTTGATTCCCTTTTTTAAAAAAAACTTCATATGTATATAATAACATTCAAGTAAATCTTTTGTTCTCTGAATGTTTCACATAGTGCTTTGAATTTCATCAGTTTTTTCTCTGCATTTATTTGTCATATCATTTTAATAATTAAGTGCTGAAAGTAGTAAATGTTATCATGATCCAGTCGTGCAATTTTTATCTATAATGTTGTCCTTTATTCAGAGGAACTTTCCATTCGTAATTAATCTTAATATGAAAATCTTGAGAAGTGACGTACTAATTTATTTATTAATCTATTCTCAGTGTCTATATCATTTCTGTTTCATTGTATTATAGGTAACATTCGAATTAAAAACGAACAAAAATTAATCATCATTAAATATCTACTACATTTTTCATTCAAAGACTTGATAATACTTAATGAATGTATAACAAGCGCCTTTTTGTTTTATTAATTAGTCAAATGGATGTTTTATCTTCTACATTTATCTTATAAGACCTTTTCCTTACTTTGTCCCTCTTGTATTGTTTTCTTTTCCTACTTATGGCAGCTTCGTTATGAAAGACAGGTAGATTCATTCTTATATGTCCGAATTTATCTGCACATTCATTTATTAATTGTACTCGACGTTTTGTCGGTTTTCATCTTACACTCCCTCTCCGCCTGTCATGTAAAATTTTTATACAAAATAGACGACCGTCTTCTTTATAAATAATCGTTTGTTTTTATTTTTACAAAGTACTGTCTCAGTCGACCTCCGATATGAAAAAAATCGTATGAGTTGATTGTTGAATTCTCTGTTACTCTTAGTTTGCCTGTTTAATATAAAAGTGGTGCTACCTTATAATTTGCAGTGTAAAATATTAAATAAACGAACTAGTTATTTTCATCTAATTTTGATTTATAAAAGTTGACTGAATCAATAATCACCGTTCATCATTGACTCTATTTATAGAGTTGGTTTTGAATTAATATTACTACTTCCATGGGAAGTGCATAGTTGGCCACTAATGTGGTTTGTGTTCAGTACTAATGTGTTATGTAAATAGTAACATTTGATAAAGTAATCAATAGCCAACAAACTTAATGATAATTACGTTAAATAGAAAATTTCGCTTATCTTATCGACCGCCTGAAATAAAAAAGGTAGTTCTGGATAACACGAGTGGATTAAGAGTTACGGGTAGACAGATTAATATATGATGGGAATCTTTATGTTCAGTGACTTATTATTATTATTTAAACATAAATATTGGTACAAGGGACGACTTTAGCTAAACTACTTTAGGATTTGAAGACCGATGTGTGTTGTGTTTTCGGAACAACACAACACTTTGACCGGAGATATCTTATTCCATGATTTGAAGTTACTAATAAATGTTACATTTTGACACCATAATAGATATCCAGTTTTACTCCATTTCAAGTTTCTTTCGAAATTAGTCCTCCATAATATCTGTCGAAGTAATTTTAATCGAGTAGCTTAGATTAAACCTCTGACTAAAGTAACTAAACCAACTTATTTCAGCGAAACAGAATAAGTTAATAACCACCTGGAAAAAATACTGCTATGCACATTATACACTGTAAGGTTAATTTATACTCAGTTTACAACCTTTAAGTCGACACCATCCCCTGTTACCTACATGAAATTTAAAACTAACGTAGTTCAATACTATTGATCGTGTCAATAATAATGAGCTATTGGAGTTGGTCAATTTGCTTTGACCCATTTCTCTTTTTGACTCGACAAATTGAAGTTAAAATTGATTTCTTTAGTTTTATGAAAATAATTGCGATGAATCATAAGTTTTTATAAATACTAAACAAAACATATACATTTATTATAGTTGTAAGTAGTATAATGGTCATAATTTTTTCTAATATAAATAATCATAAGAAATATATAAAACATGTAGTAATTGTCCTGCAATGAAGTGAAATTTGATTTATGATTGATTTCGTGTGTAGTTTAACAAGGTAATGAAAGAATTGGCTACATTGAAATTTATGTGTATTCGTTTTACTACTACTACTACGGAGTTAGACATAGGCCATCTTCACCCTACATATATTACAAATATATTTATGAGGTGAATAACAATGTATGTATGGAGTTTGCCGTTTATGTAAGATGAAAATTAAAAAAAAGTTTTACAACTGTAAAGAAACTATTTTACAAATATTTTCATGTTTTTTTGATTATTTATGATATTGATTTTTTCAAGTTAAAAAAAGCACACACACAACATCACAGTAGGAACAAAAGAATGCTACACAACTATGCCTTTGTGTAATACAAACATGATTAGATGGTGGAACTGGAATGCTAACACTTTATTTCCAGAGTAACATCACTTGATATTATTAAAAGTGTAGTCAACATAAACACAGCTTATTCAGCTAAAGGTTTACTTGAATGATAGGCGTTTCAGTACAACACACTAGTTCTATTTACTTGATCATAAACAAATTGAAAACATTGATGTAATTAAGGATCGATGAAACAATAATTAGAAAGAATTTTTTTAATAAATCGGATTCGTGTAACTTCATAATAGAAAGTCGTGGAATTCACAAAGGATGATGGTTAGTATTTCGTGTTGGTTTTCGAAATTTAATTTTGCATAAGTGTTCGAATTTACCCTAGGGAAAATGTCAAATTGCTTGTGTTAGATTCACTATAATTTCTGTGGTAAATAACCGTTAGATAGAATTTCTATGTTTATGTTGATTTAAACGTTAACTGAATCAGTAAGCAACCAACAATATTCAGGATTTGAGCAGGTACGATTTCTATTGGTTACATCAAATCATATGAACCAGTATGTTCTAATGTCATAAAATTGAGTATTTGTTAAAACTATCTAAAAGTTTATTACCCCTGAATTGATTTGGCTTTATAAAGATTTGAACGTGTCTTATTAAAAGAAACTATAATTCAATATGAGAGAGGACAAACCAGATGAAGAGGAAATTAGGAAAAGACGTTGGAAGTGCCTAAGACATACATTAGAGAAATCACCGAACTGCATCACGAGGCAATCCCTAACTTGGAATCCGAAAGGGAAGCGGGGAAGAGGAAGGTCAAAGAACACATTACGCTGGGAAATAGAAGCAGATATGAATAGCAACTGGAAAAGATTTCCCAGGACAGGGTTGGAGAGAGAATACTGGTGGGCGGCCTATGCTCCTCTACGAGGGGTAACAAGCGTAAGTAAGTAATAATTTAATTCAACGAGAATGTTCATCGTATTGTATAATTATTTTTAAGATTTATAGTCATCTAATATTATATACTTTCATTCAATCCTTCAACGTAGAATTTGTTCATTCTGAGCAAAAGAACTTATTCCCCTTTTTTAAAGGAATATGAATCAGGTTCAATAAGCTAGACTTTTACAACATGATTGAAACCAATCATGCATACATTATTGTATTGACAATCAGAATCATTCAGTTGTGTGGCTATTCTAACAAGTTACTTATTGTCACTTAGTTAGGAATAGTCGGAAAATGTTTGCATATAATTTAATACATATCAAAATTCACTAACCACTCCTTGTAAAGTAAAATTTTCTCTGGGTAAAACGTGGAATCTTCATGCATGACACGGAACTGTATAAGATGTACACAGTTCTCGAATGAATCAACTATGATGTGTTAAACAATTGTATACAATCTAGTATTTTCATGAATGGACAAAATATTAGAAAAGTACTCCGAAGATTTGTTCCTATTCGAAGATGATATTCACCACTGAATAGATTCAGCTGAAAAGTCACTGAGAGATGTGAATGTGTTTACTTGTAGTTCGATACTTCTCAGTAGGGTTCATCCTCAACTTCGCATAAAATAAAGTCTAGGAGCTTCGGATCTCATATCCAGCAGGAAAAATATAAAGTAGCTGGAAAACCATTGAAAATCAGGGAGCATAAGACAGAATTAGGCTCATATTTTTTTACCTGAAAGTAAATTTGAAAGATACTTCATGACCCTTGAACTTGACAACATTTAAATATATAAAAAGAGACTGTCAGGTTTTTAATTATTTCCTCACTAAACATAGTAATAATCTCTGATTAGTAAAATATGTAATATCAGTAAAACGTGTTGCATACTTTGATAGTAAAAGTAAACAAATTATATCCTATAGTGAACTGACGACATCTGAAAAATAACTTACTATCTCCTCGCCTAATGATGTTGTAACTAGACATTGTCATCATGAAATTAGTAGATTTTGGTTTTTACTTTTCGACTATAAAATAAAAATTGTCTACATTTTTTCCTATTATCAATTTTTGT